GTTTGGACCATGGCCCGTCACATCATCCGCAGGTGATGAGCCGGATGGCCCTTCATTTGTGATCGAAATCCCGCCGTATCTTACGGTGCACCCGGTTTTCCACGCGTCCAAGCTGGCCACATATACACCAGCCAAGAGCGACGACTTTCCGGGACGAGATCACAGGACCCTCCTTCCATGGATGGTCATCAGGAAGTCGACCGCGTCATCACGCATCGCAAGCACGACAACAAGCCTATGCAGTACAAAGTCACATTCAAGTGGTGCGACCCCGATGACACGCGATGGATTTCCCGGGCAGCTTTGCGAGCCTTCGCTCCAGACATCTATGCTCATTATGAGAAGAAACGGCTAGCGACGGAAGTTGCACAACCTCCCACCCGGACTTCAGTCTCTCCCTCCACCAGACAGCTTCGCCCTCGCAGGTAAGCTCGGTCTTTCAAGGAGGGGGGAGTATGGCATACTCCGTACCACACAAGCTCGGTCTTTCAAGGAGGGGGAAGGGTAGACTAAGGGTCCGTAGGAGTAGGGCTTGTTTCGTTTCAGCCTAAAAGCCTGAAACAAGGGCCTAAACGAGGGCCTACAGGCCCTGTGTCGTTCCGGCTTCCAGCCTGAAAACGACGGGCCATTTTCAGGCCCTCGCAAGATCGACCTACCATGAAACTCAGATACCAGACCGGGGTTTTAGGTCAGGCCACAATGGCCTATTTTGTGGAGCGTCAACCCCAGGGTCTGGCACGTTTTGGCATAGGCATGAGCAACCTCTTGGATGGGCCAGCACTATATAATGTTGACCCGCCCTGTAGGCTGCAGGTAGTTCCCAGGCACTTCACGTGCAAAGGGCAGGAGGTAGTCTTTAGGACTCGGCATCGGCACTCTGGAGGATTAGTAGTGATAGCAGTAGTCTTCAGCGCTGGGCGCTAGTAGAGAGAGAGAGAGATGGTTGGCGGAGGCCAGGGAGACTCACCTGACGCCATAGCTCCAGCTTCGTCTTCAATGTACCTGCAGCAGGGTGCCACCTTTGCAGGTTAGTATCAAATAGAGATAGATAGATAGAGAGAGAGAGAGAGAGAGAGAGAGAGAGAGAGAGAGAGAGAGAGAGAGAGAGAGAGAGAGAGAGAG